GCGAGCGCTACTTTCTGCTGGTTGTTGACGACTACACGTGTTACACCACGGTCTTCCCCTTGCGCAGCAAGGGTGAGGTCCCTGATGTCTTGATCCCTTGGATCCGCGCAGTCCGTCTCCAGCTCCGCGAACGTTTCCGCCATGACCTTCCTGTCCTACGTCTGCACTCTGACAGAGGTGGTGACTTCTCCTCCGACCTCTTGCGGGACTTTTGTCGTGGGGAGGGCATCCTCCAGTCGTTCACGCTTCTGGCCTCCCCACAGCAAAATGCGATTGCGGAGCGCCGCATTGGCTTAGTCATGGAGTTCGCGCGTACCTCCATGATCCATGCGGCTGCTCCCCATTTTCTGTGGCCGTTTGCGGTCCGGTACGCTGCGCATCAGCTCAACATCTGGCCCCGTGTCTCCTTACTGGAGACCTCGCCTACACTGCGTTGGACAAGGAAGGTTGCCAATGCGTCGGTGTTCCGGGTCTGGGGTTCTCGTGCCTTTGTTCGCGATACATCCGCGGACAAGCTCTCCGCCCGCGCTATTCCCTGCGTCTTCCTTGGCTTTCCCCCTGACGCGCCTGGGTGGCAGTTTTACCACCCCACCTCGCGCCGTGTCTTCCCCTCTCAGGACGTCACGTTTGATGAGTCGGTTTCCTTTTACCATCTCTTCCCCTACCGCTCTGCCCCTCTCCCACCCCCACAGCTCTTCCTTGCTCCGATTCCCCCTCCGGTAGACCCCCTCCCCCCCCAGGGTCCTGCTCCCTCAGGTGTGTCTCAGATAGACCCACTCCCCGGGGCTGTGCCTGTCGAGGTCGCTGTAGACTGAGGTGTTGCTCGAGGTGCTGCGTCTGGAGGTGCTGTGTGTAGGGGTGCTGAGTCTAAGGGTGCGGGGTCTGGGGGTGCTGAGCCTAGGGGTGCAGAGCCAAGGGGTGTTGAGCCTACGGGTGCAGAGCTTGGAGGGGCTGAGCTTGAGGGTGCAGAGCCTGGGGGTGCTGAGTCTGAGGGTGTGGAGTCTGGGAGTGCTGAGCCTCGATGTACTGCTTCTTTTGGAGGTCCTCTGGGTGCCTCGTCATGAGTGTCTCCCCGGCCGTAGCCTCTCTCACCGCAGCAGCTGCGCGAGTAATTTGCTCAACGCACACGTCTTCGGAGTGGAGCTGCCGGAGCTGGAGGCTCTGCCGCTGGAGACATTGGAGCTAGAGGTGTTGGAGCTACTAGTCTTGGAGGTGCTGGAGGTACCGGAGGTGCTGGAGCTGCTAGTCGTGGAGGTGCTCGTACTAGGGGAACTGGAGCTACCGGAGCTGGTGGTGTTGGGGGCACTGGAGATGGAGGAGCTGGAGCTCGAGACTCTGGCGCTGGAGGCGCTGGGACTGGAGGCACTGGAGCTGGAGAAGCTGGAGCTGGAGGAGTTGGAGCTGGAGGCCCTGGCGCTGGAGGTGCTGGAGCTGTTGACCCTGGAGCTGGAGGTGCTCGCACTGGGGGTACTGTGTCTAGCGGTACTGGTGCTGGAGGCACTGTGCAGCGGTGCCCGTTTTTTGTTCTGCCACAGCCGTCGTTTTTGCCGCCACCTGACTCGGTCCTTCGCCAGGTTCTTAGTCTCCCGTCTTCTACTGGCCTTCCTCCTATCTTACTGAGTCCACCGCCTTGCCAGTCGCTGCCACAATTACAGCCAGACTCCCCACTGCCTGCTCCTTCTCCTTACACTGAGTAGACAGACTCTTTTACAAAGTGTTGTGAGCCTGAGTCTTGTCCTGCCTCACTTGTTCGCGCTGTTCGCACTGGTCGTCAGGTTCCTCGTCCGCGTCCTCCTCCTGTCCCCGGCACACACGCTATGGCACTTCGACCTTCCTCTGTTCCACTACGAGTTCCTCAGCCGCTTCCTCTTGAGTCCTCTCTTCCTGCCGTTCCTAACCCTGAGTCTGACCTAGCTCGTGCTGCCAGTCCCACTGTCTCTCGTCTCCTCGCCATTGCTGTCATTGACCCTTCTTTTGAGTCCACTGCTGCGTCTGCCCTATTTGCTGAGCTTGTTGAATTTGCTGCTGCCTGTCGTCTCGACTACGCCACTAGTCTTGTTGCTGAGTCTGAGTCTGGTTGTCCTCTGTCCGTCGGGGGTGAGTGTGCTCTTGGCACGGACGTCCTTGAGGACAGGCAGGAGGAATTTGAGTGCCTTGCAACGGCTGTACCTCGTTTCGCTTCCATGCTGCTTACCCCTGAGGGAGACCCGGATGCACCAGACATCCCGACCCCGCGCTCTTACGCAGAGGCGATTACGGGTCCTTACTCCTCTTAGTGGCAGACAGCCATGGACGCCGAGATGGTATCCTAGAAGTCCACAGGCACCTACGTCGACGCAGTTCCCCCGTCTGGGGAGAACATAGTCGATGGCATGTGGATTTTCAGGGTGAAGCGGTTGCCGGATCCGCCTGTCTTCAAGGCTCGTTACGTTGCACGAGGCTTCAGTAAGCGACAGGGAGTTGACTTCTTCCATACCTTCTCCCCTACCCCAAAGATGACCACTCTTCGGGTGTTGCTGCACGGCGCAGCTCACCGTGACTACGAGCTACACTCTCTTGACTTCAGCACAGCTTTCTTGCAGGGCAGCCTACACGAGGAGATCTGGCTGCGCCGCCCACTTGGCTTCACTGGGTCGTTTCCTGCAAGTACCCAGTGGATCCTCCGGAGCCAAGTCTACGGTCTTTGCCAGGCGCCTCGAGAGTGGCACAACACACTGAGGACTACACTTGCGGCTCTGGGGTTTACTCCTTCGACTTGTTATAGTCACAATAGGCTTGAATGTGCCTAAAACGAAAGATAGAGTGCACTGTCGGATTTCTACACGGCGGCTTCAAACGTTGATAGCGTTCTGGTAACATACTTGATTGAAATTGGATCTTGAGCATCTTCTCGTTGCCTACACTTGGCAATTTAGATTGCACAATTTCATTAAGGATTGACGACGCAACGTTGGTTTGAACGAACGGCACTATGGCAGTCACTATAGACTTAGAACACAAATTAGGAAGAGTTACGAGTTGGGAATGACTCCAAGCTCCTACAAACCCCAATAGCCGAGGTACAGTGATCTGGAACAGTGCCACACTGTCCCCAACCACGAAGGGTCTCGAAACTACCCTCCACAACGGCCTACACCAAGAGAAATGTTACACTACACAAAGTAATGGAACTATTTTTCACTATCTTAAAGTTTACCCTCTTGGAGAGCTTCGAAATCACTTGAATCTTGAAACCAAGGCTCTGGTTCTTCAAGATAAATTCTTCCTTGAGTTCTTGGAAGTCTGCTGCGCACACCTGCAACACGCCGAACGTTCCACACACGACAAAATAGAAAACCGCACACGACACGCAAACGACGACGTGACACGCGACTAGCGATAACTCGCTATTGACTCGACACACACATTCAAAATCATGTCTCATCATTCACACACTATTTTAAGCATAAAATATATATTATCTCATGCTGTCATACCATTCCATGCACGCACGCATGCGCGCACACGGACAACAAGCCGAATGCAAACCGTAGGGTTGCACCAACAGTGCTGCTGACCCGTCGCTGTTTCTACGCACTGAAACTTCGCTGCCGCCGTTCTACGTCCTCGTGTACGTCGATGACCTTGTCTTTGCCGTTGCTGACACTGAGGCACTGGCCCTTGTGAAGTCGGAGCTGGAGAAGAGACACACCTGCACTGACCTGGGTGAGATTCGCAGCTATCTTGGCTTGCAGATCACTCGGGACAGAGCACGGCGCACCATCACCCTGACTCAGTCACACATGGTGCACCAGGTCCTTCAGCTCCTCGGCTTCCAATACTCCTCGCCACAGTCCACTCCTCTCCCTACCGATCGCTCGCTCTCAGCTCCACCTTCGGACGAGTCCGTAGAGCCGAGTGGCCCGTATCCAGAACTTTTGGGCTTCCTCATGTACCTGATGACCTGCACTCGACCTGACCTTGCATACCCTTAGCAACCTGGCACGCTACGTTGCGCCCGGGAGACACCGATCAGAGCACAGGGAGGCCGCTAAGAGGATGTTGCGCTACTTGCGCAATACTTCGGGCATGGGGCTCGTGCTTGGAGGACGGGGTCCAGTTGTCCTCACTGGACACGCAGACGCTTCTTGTGTTGATGACTTGGCTACGCAGCGGTCGTCGCAGGGTTACACCTTCATCCTCGGTTCCGGCTCTGTTTCCTGTTGGTCTACCCGCTCATCTTTGGTTCTCAGTTCCAGTTGTGAGGCTGAGATCTACGCAGGGGCCATGGCTGCGCAGGAGTTACGCTGGCTCACCTACCTGCTGACTGACTTGGGAGAGCAGCCTCGTTCGCCTCCAGTTGTGTACGTAGACAACAAGGCCATAATTGCCTTGTGTCAAGAGCACAGACTGGAGCAGAGAACGAAGCACATCGCTTTGCGATACTTCCTTGCTCGAGAGTTGCAGCAGCGTGGTCAGCTTCGCCTTGCGTACGTGGCCACTCGGGCCAACACTGCTGATATATTCACCAAGGCACTCCAGTCTGGTGATCATCAGCGCTTCTCTATTGTTTTAGGCCTTGTGCCTACTTTGCCTCACTTGCTGACTGCGTGACTTTGCTTGTACTGTGATCTATATATATGAACCTGCATGCTTACTCTTGCTAGGCTATGATCACTGTACTGTTTGTTCTCTTTTGTATAACACTGCATGTGAACTGGCCCTGTAGTCTTTTGCTTGCGCTCGGAATGTGTGGTGACTTGTAACATGACTGGCTATCTTTGGACAGATTATCATCATCTAGTGTGTTTCTTCCTCCCTAGAGCTCCGAATGACCCCAAACTAGGAGGCTGTGCTTTTAGTGATATATAGTAGCTATTGGCATCGAGAAACCACCATAAAAAAAACGGCACGTGCGTAAATCTACACTTGCGTCAATGCCTATCCGTGAACAAATTCTCATACCCAATGTAATTGAAACGTATAGTGACATAATATGTGCAGTCAACACCTTAGCAGACATGGTAATGTATTACTTCATGAATAATTACGCTTTATTTCAATAGCTGGCATGTTGACGAGCACAGGAATAAATAGCTGATTTTGCAGAACTAACAAAAGAAAAGACATTGTTTATGTCATTAATCTGATGTGTTCATAACAGAAGCTAAATTACACGCATAATAGAATGATGCAAGAAACACTCAAATGACATTATTACAATCTTGAAATCGCCAACACAGCAGATTCTATCGACACCTAGAGCCAATGGGACACCAGAGCACTGATCCCACAAGGTTCCCGAAGCTGATATTGGCCCCGAACCTGTAAACCTAGTCACTGGACCAGTGGGGAGATTTCCGAAGCTGAGGTCCTAACTGCCCAAGCAAATTCGAGGTTTCCCAAGCTGCGTGCCCGGGTTTCTGTTCGACGCGATGCATCGAAAGCATCTTTCTCCACTCAGATCGAACTGTTAGGGCGTGTGCCTTTTTTGATTTTGTATGTTTTCGCGGACAGTCCACTTGATCGAAGCGGACGGTCCCAATAGCGGGTACCGGACAGCCCATTTCGAAAATTCGAAACTGCAGACTGTCCGAAGGCAAAAACGTGACTTTTCTCTACATCTGAAACTACCGAAGTACTTAGCACTCGCTAGAGCTACTGTACCATCGTAACCCCAGTCACACACGTTCAATGTTCAGTCGCGAGGCGCGGTCCTCAAATAAATTGTACATGCGGCTCGGTTTTTGTTTTTCGAGACCTTCGCGCGCCAATCCAGTGTCAGAACTGTGCATCCGTCCGTTTGCAATTCGAACTGCCAAAAGTTCAGAATGTGAACCGTTGCTTGGAGGAAAAAGTGACGCGACGGTTCGAACCGCTGGAGACGTCGCCAACACCTTCACGAAACATTCACGACTAGTGACGAAACGGGTAAGATTTTTGCAAATCGGAAGGTCCACGGTTCGAACCGTCGGGAGCAAAAAAGGCACACGCCCTTACTTCAATCCTACTTTCCGAAACCCTACTCTTCGGGACCCCCCATTTTTGGGATGGAGAGCTGGAAGGGGCATTACTCGCCAGGTTTACGAATTCGCTGCTGAGGGCACCAAGGATCAAGATCCCTCGCAACTCGCGGTGCCTCAACTCGTCGAAGCACCTCGAATCCTCTTCGCTCCTCCCGTGCAATTGTCGCGCCTCCCCTCCGTTCGTCGCGCCTCCCCTCCGTTCGTCGCGCCTCCCCGCCTCGTCGCGGATCCCCTGCTTTTGTCGAGCCTACCATCTCTCATCGAGCCTCCCTTCCCATCGTCGCGCATCCCCTCTTCGACACTTCTTTGAACTGTAACCAAGGTAGGTGAGCTAACAAGGAAGAAAGGGGTGATGGGAAGGAAGGGACGGGAGATGGGAAGGCAGGGTGGGGAGATGAGAAGGAGGGGGGGGGGGAGGACGGGAAGGTAGGCAGTAGAGATGGGAAGGAAGAGCGGTGAGATGGGAAAGAAAAAAGAGATGAAGGGGAGGGAGGGAGGTGAGATTGGCAGGAAGAGTGAGAAGAAGGGAAGGAAGGGGTGTGAGTTGGGAAGGAAGAGAGAGAAGAAGGGAATGAAGGGAGGTGAGATGGGAAATAAGAGAGAGAAGTAGGGGAGGCGGCGGTTTGTGCCCTGTGGTTGACAGCGGGCGGGCGTGGCTAGTGTCGTTTCAGCAGCGTAACGTGTGTGTTACGGTGGCGTGACCTAGGCGAGAGTGAGAGAGTGGGCTAGGCTTTGGTGCACACGTGTAAACACCGTATCCTACTTTTAAGCACTTGCTTCCCGAAATTTCACTTTCTGCGCTGCCGGTTTGCGAGTCTAGATGTGCTTATCCACAGGTAGGAGCGAGTGGCGTATCCTCTCACTAACCACGTGTTGAGGGCGCTTTTGAATACATGTGTGTGTGTGTGTGTGTGTGTGTGTGTGTGTGTGTGTGTGTGTTGTATGTGTGTGTGTGTGTGTGTGTGTGTGTGGTGTGTGTGTGGTGTGTGTGTGGTGTATCCAACTTCTCAAATTCCTAAGGATTTGAAACTGCCGATTGCGAATGTAGACGCTCGCTTCAACGTTTGAAGGTTAAATCCGAACGATGCGACCTTGTTTTCATTTCCCCTGCTGCGCCTTGTGTCGCACTGATGTCCCCCCAGCCAGCCATGGCGTTGTTCCTCCTCGTGCCGTGCCTCCTCTCGCTCCTGCTGTCGCTCACCTGCCACGTGGACGCAGCTCAGTGGCACGATTGCGGTGAGACTCCTCCCGAGAATAGCCCTTCTCTCCACACACCCCTGGGTCTTGGTGTCAAACCCCAGTGCCGCCGTTGCCCTGCCCCCATGCGCCTGTGCCCAAGACTCCCCTCCTTCCTTGCGCCCATCTCGCCGCCTCGGCCTCGCCTCTCCCACTTGCTACGCACCTCACCGACCCCCCTCCTTCAATCACCTCTCTCCACTGTCCGTTTTTGCTTACTTCCATCCTCTTCACAGTAACTCGTGGCCAGGTGTCATGATGATGCCAGGTGTCATGAGGTGATGACAGGTGTCATGATGATGCCAGGTGTCATGATGATGCCAGGTGCCATGATGATGCCAGGTTTCATGATGAGACCAGGTATCATCATCAGGCCTTCACCCACCTTTGCTTCTTCCGTCTCCTCAACCGCCCGCCATTCCCCTCCGCGCGTTCTGCTCCAGGCTCCCAGCATGTGCCCGTCACAGTGAAGAACGTCACGATGCTGCCCGATCCGCCAGTCAGTGGCTCGGATTTCACGGTTGTGCTGCCCGCCGTCACAGGTGTGTGTGTGTGGCAGGGGGTTGGTGCCTGTGGGTTGCGTGCTACGTGTATGTGTATTTTTTGTCTTTCAAAAAAATAAATTATCCACATTTCCCTCTCCCTCTCTCTCCTCCCCACCACCCCTCCTTCCTCTACTCGTCTCCCTGCTGCTTACCTTCCTCACCCTGCCGGATTCAGCCACACCTCCGTCTTTACCCACCCACAGCAGCAGCAGCAGCAGCAGCAGCAGCAGCAGTAGCGCGCTCATAGTTGATTCCAGCGCAGCTCCTCCCAACCCCCGCACTCGCCATCCCCCTTCGTCCCTCTCTATCCCCCTCCCCACCCCCACTGCCATCACCAGCAGCGCGCATTGAGGTGGGCGTGGTGAGGGTGAGCGTAAGTGCTACGACTGGCCCGCCTACACGTCACAGTTCAGCTGTGTGACAAAACTCCATTCCGCCACCCGCCTTCCTCCTTGTTTCTCCTCCCTCATCGCCCCCCCACCCCCACCCCCAGCGGCGCGCATCCAGTCAGGGGTGGTGCGGGTGAGTGTGGCGTACTACGGGTGGCCGGTCTACACGTCCACGGTGCAGCTGTGTGACAAGACGCCCTGCCCCGTGCTGCCGGGCCCCTTCACCTTCTCCAATGAGCAGCCGCTGCCCTTCCTCACCCCCGCTGTGAGCACTGCCCTCCCTCTCTTGCTGTGAGCACTCTCTTGCTGTGAGCACTCTCTTGCTGTGAGCACTCTCTTGCTGTGAGCACTCTCTTGCTGTGAGCACTCTCTTGCTGTGAGCACTCTCTTGCTGTGAGCACTCTCTTGCTGTGAGCACTCTCTTGCTGTGAGCACTCGTCATACCGCTGCACTGGTCATACCGCTGCACTGGTCATACCGCTGCACTGGTCATACCGCTGCACTGGTCATACCGCTGCACTGGTCATACCGTTGCACTGGTCATACCGTTGCACTGGTCATACCGCTGCACTGGTCATACCGCTGCACTGGTCATACCGCTGCACTGGTCATACCGCTGCACTGGTCATACCGCTGCACTGGTCATACCGCTGCACTGGTCATACCGCTGCACTGGTCATACCGCTGCACTGGTCATACCGCTGCACTGGTCATACCGCTGCACTGGTCATACCGTTGCACTGGTCATACCGTTGCACTGGTCATACCGCTGCACTGGTCATACCGCTGCACTGGTCATACCGCTGCACTGGTCATACCGCTGCACTGGTCATACCGTTGCACTGGTCATACCGTTGCACTGGTCATACCGTTGCACTGGTCATACCCCTCCTTGCCCCCTTGCCGGTGGCCATAGGGCGCGTACACGCTGTGGCTCAAGGCGCGCGACAGCGACGGGCGAGATCTGTTCTGCACGCGAGTGGATTTCACCATCGTGCGCCCCCAGGCAGGCAGGAGGCAGCCCTCTCTGCGCATGCAGACGGCGTAGGGCGTGGCTCTCGCTGGTGGTGCCATTGGAGAGGCTGCCCAGTCACCACTGGAAGCTGCGAGCAGGGATTTCACCATCGTGCGCCCCCAGGCAGGCAGGAGGCAGCCCTCTCTGCGCATGCAGACTTCACCATCCTGAGCCTGCAAGCTGGAAGCATGCGAGCAGGGGAGAGGCTGCCCAGTCACCACTGTGTGCAGATGGCTTAGAGCGGCCTGCTCTCGTGGTGCATGGGGAAGCAATAAATAAATGAATAAATTCTCAGAGCTGCCTTTTGGCAGTCAGCTGAGTAGGAAGGAATAAATGCCAACATTATAGAACGCCCTAGGGTTAGCTCAGCCTGATGATGCGAGCCTTAAAATTTGAAGCCGGCCAAGTTGCCAAGCCATGTGCATGTGATATCGTGATTGAGTGATGTAGTTCGCACTGTAGCTATTACTTGACAAGAAAGTTATTGTAAGGATTTATTCGGCATTCCTTACCGTGTACGTCAACCTTGCGTACAGAAGCAGCCGTTGTTCGCCCGTTACTGCTAACAAGACTTCGCACTATTCACCAAACCATGCACCGCTGGCCCGGCCGTGTCGGCCTACGCTTCGGGAATCGGGACTAGCCTGAAGTGTTAAAATTAACGGGCAAGAATGATGGACTAGAATGATGGATGAGTAAAAGTAGGTCTAACCCTAAAGTATTGTAATCAGTAAAGGCTACCCCACTACAGCCTACAGACATACAAACATAGTTTGACACAACCCCATTGCCAAAGTGGGGGATAGCAAGAACAACCAACGGTCACAAGACCAGTCAAGCAAGAGAACAAAGCAAATCAAAGCTCATGGTGGATCTCTAGATCACCACGCAGTCTGAGCACAAGCAAGCGGCCACAAGGCCAGTTCACATGCAGAGTTATAAAAGCACAAGCAATACAGTGAGTACAACCTAGCAAGAGCAAGCATGCAAATATATATGTATATATATATACATATATATATATATATATAAAGATCACAGTACAAGGCAAAGTCAAGCAACCAGCAGGTGAGGCAGAGTACGCAGAAGGCCTAGAGCAATGCAAAAACGCGGATTATCACCAGACCCAAGGGCCATGGTGAAAACATCAGCAGTGTTGGCCCGAGAGGTGACGTAAGCAAGGCGCAGCTGATCACGCTGCTGCAACTCTCGAGAAAGAAAGTAACGAAGAGCAATGTGCTTCGTTCTGTGCTGCAGTCTCTGCTCTCGACACAATGCAATCATGGCCTTGTTGTCGACGTACAGAACTGGAGGAGAACGAGGCCACTCACCCAAGTCAGTCAGCAAGTAGGTCAGCCAGCGTAACTCCTGTGCGGCCATAGCCCCACCGTAGATCTCGGCTTCACAACTTGAACCAAGCACAGAAGATGAACAAGTGGACCTCCACGAGACAGAAACAGAGCCGATACTGAAAGAGTAACCCTGTGATGACCGCTGAGTCGCCTGGTCATCAACCCAAGAAGCGTCGGAGTGTCCCCAGGTCGATGACCTCCCTCGTCGACCTCCAGGTTGAAGTCGGTGTCAAATTATATATATAATTTATATTGATGTTGTCTAGGTGTATTGCTTTTGACCTAAAATTAGGGTTAGGGCTTGCCTAAATCTTCTTTGTACTTGTCAATTCTAGTCAACATTTTACATTATAACATGATATAGAGCTAGGTTTAATATAACGAGATTTTCCCCTTAGGAATTTCTCTCAACAAATCATGGGCCCACCTAGTCGCCCGAAGCGCGTTTAGCCTATGCCCGTCGCCCGTAGCGCGTTTAGCCTATGCCCGTCGCCCGTTTCCTCCCATCGCTCGTTGCCTGTTTCCCCCCAACAGTTTTCTGCGCGCGCCCCGCGGCCTTCCGTTAGCGGGCCCCGCGGCCCTTTCGTTAGCGGGCCCCGAGGCCCTTTCGTTAGCGGGCCCCGCCGCACGCACGCGCAGCAACAGCCGCGCGCACGTGCAGCCCGTTAGCCGCCCCCGCTGCCCCACCCGTCGCCCGCTGCCTTAACCACCGTCCCATGAGCTGAAACCCGCCGCCCCACCCGTTACATGCCGCCCCACGAGCGGAAACTCGGCGCCCCACCTGCCGCCAGCAGAACCAGCAGTAGCTTAGGCTGTCCCCAGCACACCAGCAGCAGCTTATGTCAGAATGTCATGTGCTTACACTTGTGTAGGCTATAGTGGGGTAGCCCATAAGGGGTACAACCCAATTAGGGTTAGTACTTGTACCCAACTCTTTGCTAGTTCATTCATTCTCGTTCATTCTTCTGACATGGTTTCAGAGCAGGTCCTCAGCTAGGACCGTCTTTTTTTTTCTTTAGGCCCACCACTGCACTGCTCCTAGCGACCCTCGTGTCGCCGCTTGGCCCGTCGCCCCTAGGCCCGTCGCTCCTAGCCCAGCCCGTCGGCCCTAGCCAGAGCGCCCCTAGGCCCATCGTCCCGGCCCCTTGCCCCTAGCCCGTGCGCCCCGGCCCGTCGACCCCTAGCCCACGCACCCGGCCCCGTCGACCCCTAGCCCGCACGCCCCGGCCCGTGCGCCCGGCCCCGTCGACCCCTAGCCCACGCGCCCCGTCTCGTCGACCCCTAGCCCGCGCGCCCCAGCCCGTCGACCCCTAGCCCGTGCGCCCGGCCCCGTCGACCCCTAGCCCGCGCGCCCCGGCCCGTCGACCCCTAGCCCGTGCGCCCCGTCTCATCGACCCCTAGCCCGCGCGCCCCGGCCCGTCGACCCCTAGCCCGCGCGCCCCGGCCCGTCGACCCCTAGCCCGCGCGACCCGGCCCGTCGACCCCTAGCCCGCGCGACCCGGCCCCGTCGACCCCTAGCCTGCGCGCCTCGGCCCCGTCGACCCCTAGCCCGCGCGCCTGGCCTCGTCGACCCCTAGCCCGCGCGCCCGGCTCTGTCGACCCCTAGCCCGCGCGCTCCGGCCCCGTTGACCCTAGCCCCCGTGCCCTGGCCCCGTCAACCCTAGCCCGCGCGCCCGGCCCTGACGCCCCTAGCCCTAGCGCCCCGACCCCATCGACCCCTAGCCCGCGCGCCCCGGCCTCGTCGACCCTAGCCCCCGCGCCCAGGCCCCGTCGACCCTAGCCCGCGCGCCCGGCTCCGTCGCCCCTAGCCCTCGCGCCTGGCCCCGTCGACTCCAGCCCGCGCGCCCCGGCTCAGTCGACCCTCGCCCCCCCCCCCCCCCCCCCCCCCGGCCCCTCGGCCCATCCTGCTGCTACTGCTACTACTACTGCTACTTGTGCTCCTCCTGCTGCTACTGATGCTACTACTACTGTTGCTACTGCTGCTCCTGTGTGCTGCGCCACTATGGCTTCGCTTCGAGTTGTCACGTTCGATCATGAGGGCAGACCGATTCAGTTTGACAAATGGCTCGACAATCTGCAGCTGTACCTACTGATCGATTCTAAGGACAGTGTTTCGCTGTTTGACCTCGCGTCAGGCGCCGCTACTACCCCTTCCACCACAGGTGACAGTGCGACTCGCTCACAGTGGCTTACTCGCGACGCTGCTGCCCGCTTAACCATTCGCAACCACCTGCCGTTAGCCGAATGCGCTCACTTCGGACACAACAGGACAGCTCAGGCACTCTACGACGCTGTCGTCGCTCGCTACACCTCGCTTGCCACTGCTGCTCTAGGCCGCCTGCTTCTGCCCTACGTGTTCCGTGAGCTATCCGCCTTTGCCACAGTAGAGGACCTTGTGTCCCACCTGCGCACTAGTGACGCTCGCTACCGCGCTACTGTCCCTGCTGAGTTCCTTGACAGGAACCCGCCCCCGATGTTCATCACCCTGTACTTCATAGTCACTCGCCTCCCTGACTCTCTTCGCTCTGTCAGGGACCACTTTCTCCCACTTGACCCCACCTCCCTCACTGTTGACCTACTCGAGGAGCACCTCCTCGCAGCTGAGACTAGTGCTGTTGCTGTAGGTGCTGCTCGTGGCACTCCGCGCACGCCCTTCTTTGAGGGGTGCTCCCCCTCCCCTCTTGCCCCCTCCTACGCCTCTGCTGCTGCTGCAGACGTCCCTGGTGCTGAGGACGTCGGGGCTGCTTCTGCTAGTGTGAAGCGCCGCAACAGCAAGGGCAAGGGTGGCAGGGGTGGTGGAGGTGACAGCGGGAGTGTTGGTGGGGGCACCAGTGGAGGTGATGGTGGCAGTGGAGATGGTGGCGGTGGTGGGACTGGTGGCGGGGGTGGGGCTCTGGTGGCGGCGGTGGAGGCAGCGGTGGGAGTGGC